ACATTATTTTCATATATTCATTCCTGGCGTTTGTTATTTTTTTGGTACCGGATTTCAACCCGGAATCCACAACAGTAACTCAGTTTAGCAGTTTTTTGTGTTTTTTAGATATTAAACATTTTGTGAGATGGACACGATTTGGACACGATTTACTGTTACACCCGGTAGATATATAGACCAGATATGGCAGCAGTATCCAATACATTGACTAATGGTAGATTTTTAAATGCGCAGGAGTGATTCTGATGAGAATTGTTTAGGACGACACAGTGAACTAACTTTCTTAGCAGTAGACCGAGCAATTTATCCAGTATAATCTCTCTACTTCATATCAGTGAAAACTGTGAGTGCAAGAAGGCGCTATGAGTTGCTCACCTGGACGTTTTCATCAGCCAAGCTGATAGCAGACAGAAAAAGGTTATCTATGGTGATTAAACGAAAGCAGTTTTGTTTTGGACGTGTTAAAATTTGCAAGATACTCCTTGCCCCAGTTAATCACTGATTGGAGTCCCTATTTCGATAGGAGTTGCCAGTTTATTGTTTAAATTCATCTTTTTATCTATCTTTTTCTTTAGAGAGTGGTTTTTGTAAATAACACGTGGTTGCCTCAGGGGATATAAAGTTATTTTAACTGTTTTGGTTTTTTGTCTTTATGATCGCCTTAGGAATGAAATGGGCAGTTATCATGCGATATTGATTATTATGTCCACACTGTTTATATCTATAAGCAATCTATTCCCGATGTTGAGAATGCACCACCTCTATAAATATAGCTAATTTATAACAATATAATTACACACACACACACACAAAAACACATACATGTATATGTATGTGTGTGCTTATAATAAAAAATACACACACATACGCATACATACGCGCACACACACACTCATATATATATATATATATATATATATATATATATATATATATATATATATATATATATATATATATATATATATATATATATATGCACGGCACAACGGGATAGTATATACGGACACGGATCTATATGCATATAGTCAATATATATAAGGATTACTGAAAATTTCTCGGTATGGTTCACTTCCAAAAATCTTACCAAAAATCAGAATTTGGGTGGTAAATCCTTTCTTGGTCGGTCTAAGAATTTTTATGCATCCATCATATATATATATATATATATATATATATATATATATATATGTGTGTGTGTGTGTGTGTGTGTGTGTGTGTGTGTGTGTGTGTCGAGTGGTTAAGGTTCACACTACATAGTTGCAGTATAAATCAAACGTTGGCTCTGTGGGTGTTGAACAAAACAGAAATATGGCTGAACTAGGTTTCTGCAACAAGGATTGGCTAATCTCTTCAGATAAGACCGGACAGCCATTATATATATATATATATATATATATATATATATATATATATATTACGTGTGTAAATGGACACTGATGTTAGCACCAGTGACAACAGTCTATTTTAGGCACCTTGAATTAATCGTTAAATGTTTTCCTAAAGAAAGTAAACTCATTACTATTTTTAATAAAATACCCTAAAATTAAGTTACAGCTGTATTGAAAACTTTAAAAAAATTATTAAGAAACATAATTCTAATATCCCGAATAAACACTTAGACCAAGACCAAAGAAATTTAGACAGTATAAAAATAAAAAGATATATAGATAACAAAAATTATGTAACTGCAGAAATTCTCATAACTGTCATTTAAAAAATAAATGTAGGACGAAATCATTAGTATACCAATGCAATATCTCGTCTATTGAGGATCCAAACAGCGTAAAAGTCCTTATTGGATGCACAAGGCATGAGTTCAAAAAAGATTCAATCAACATCAAAGTTCTTTCAGGATAAATAAATACCGGAATCGGACGTCCCTATCGAAATATTGCTGGCACTTAAAAGAAACCAATAAAACACCTACAGTAAAATGTAAATTAATAAGGCAATATGTAGGTCATTAAATGACCTTTGTGCATTCATGAAAAACTATATATTACTAGGTTTATAAAAAATTAAAATTTACTGAATCAAAGAAATGAAATAGCTATTCTTTGCCGGTATTCTCAAAAATTTTCCTTAAATAAAGTTTTAAAAAAAGCTGATAAAATAAATATATATACTTATATTTGATATTTAATAATAATTTTTAAATAATTTAAGTATTTCTATTACATTTATTTGTTTTAAAAAGAAGTATAGTTAATTAATAATTAAAAATAATATTTTAAAATTGTAGTTTAATACAACGTATTCTAATCCAAACACCCCTTTAGAAAGAATCTTTATATATACAAATAAAAATTTAAAGGAAAAAAATGCCGAAAACCTTTTTGCCGTTGATAAAAAACAGACGACATGCGTTGAACGGATGTCATAATTCATTGAAAAGGCACCCCTACCCCACCTAGACTTAACCTCTTTTCGAAAGTAACTCATATTTGATACAATAGTTGTCAGTATAAATGAACACGCTGCCGCCCCTTATCAAAATGATTGGATTTCTCCCTATTCTTGGAAACAAATATTATGAATGTATGTGCTTATAAAACTCAGTAAAATTCAAAATAAGTTATTTCAAAATTCGCTTGAAAATGAAACAGAAATAGTTCTTCTAATTTAATTATGTAATTGAATTTGAAGATTTTAATTTCTTTTTTTTGAAACATGGTAATTCCTGTGTAGCGAGGGAACCATATTTTTAAATCAGTTAATTTATAATATTTATGTTTTGTAAATTTGCATTGAACACTGTTTTATAAAAATAAAAATATTAATAAGAACACCGGATTATATATATATAATATATATATATATATTACTGTTCTTCTTATATATATATATATATATATATATATATATATGACTAAAAAGACCACACGAAAAATATTCTAAGACGATGCGTTTCGTCCCTTGAAAGATTTATCAAAGCAATGTGCAGTGATAAAGCCCTGAGGACGAAACGTGCCGGTTAGAAATATTTTTCCTCTTGTCTTTTTATTTATTTTGCTCCCTCACAAATACACCTATCTAAATATAATTTACACACACACATACACCTTCCGACAAACCACACGCACACACACATGCACACACACATACACACACACATATATATATACGTGTGTGTGTGTGTATATGTTCATGCGCTTGTGTGGGTGTTAACCTATGTTAACTGTTATTTATGCCATCCTTGTCTTGTTATAAGAAGGAAGGTGATGAGGGAAGCCTATTTTTACTGCTGCAATTACATATCCGGCAAAACCAACAATAGCCACATTATTCATTGGCAGGAGAAAACCATTTTAAAAATTGTAATCTCATTCTCTTATTGATGTTAGTGCTAATGTGGCTTGCAGAAGATCAAAAAACTTGTACAAAAGTATCAAAAAGTAACGAATTACAAAACATAATCAGCTGCCTCATCTTTACATATTTTTTTTCTTACGCAAATGAATTGCTGCGAAATATATTCAACCGTTCACTCCTTTGTATAGAAGTCCACAAAATTTGCCGTCTCGCTAAAGCATCAAAGCAATTTGATACAATTATAAAACTGTAATCGCTTACTCAGAGCGTCACACATCAATTCGTGAACACGTAGAAATATATTCATGGGCAAGGAATTCAGATCGTGAGAAAGTATTTTGGCATAAATATAGTTGGTTCGAGTTTCAAACAACTAGTGAGTCTGGGGTTTTGAGAAGCTTCTTTTTAATCATTTCACTGCAAGCAGGACGATAAAGCCACTAAGACGCAAGGAATTACTGAGAATGAAGGAAGCCGAGAAAACGTTATTGAGAAAAAGGATAAAAACGAGAAGATTTCAAGGAGACAGATAGGATGATTTATGTTTCATTTACATTTTTAAATATAATAATTTACAGAAAAGCAAGAAGCCAGAAGAAAATTCTATAAAGAATAAGTGCAAGGGAAGAAACTGTTAGCATAGATATTATTATGGTTACATCATGAAATTTCAGCAGTAAAATAATAAGACCTATCTGCCAATATATTACAGCGTTTACGATATTAAAGTCGCGGTACCAAAGAGGAAATCACATCAGAAGAATTACCATGAAAATATTTATAAAAAATAAGCTACGTTATGGCAGAACGTGATTGAAGCTTCGATGTCACGTCAGGACCGATAACATTGCAAATTGTAAAGAATTTGTAGATATACAGCAGAAGCAACAGATTGGAGGTAGCAGCAGTAGTCAATACAAAAGCGAATAGTAGACTTATAAATGTATAAAATAGTCATCAAAATGTTTACTCTGGTTGTTCGTCCAATGTCTATGGATGTTATTCTTCCATTTGGTACTGATTATAAAACCTTTTACATAATATTTACTGTTTCCAAATCTGTTAACTTGTGCTAACTCTGGTATTAATATCAAGTCCTTCTTTGATTTTGTTTTTTTGGAAACAAAATTCCTCAATGTTTTAACTATCAACGACCTTAAGGTAATAATTTCTGTTTTTTTTTTTTTTTTTTTCACCAGTTCTCTAACATGAAATGCCCCGATGGAAAAGTCTTTATATTCAATTGGAGGCATTTATAATCTTTCAAATAGGCAGTTGCCAATTTTTAACAGTTGACAACCAGAAGTTATCCACCAACATAGCAAAGCTTAATGAATTAAATTTCTAATATGTTCTCTTTCCTATCCATATCAGAAAAAAAACTCTTCGTTATAAAAATGCACATTACCGAACAATTTCAAATTACGTTAGGCCATGCAATAACGACTTCAAGAAAGAACGATTTAAAAGTAACACGGCGTTAAAAATTGATACCGTTTGGAGAAAGTTACCTAACGTCGCTTAAGAAATATACATCTAATTTAATACACACACACACACGTATATATATATATATATATATATATATATATATATATATATCAAGCAACTTCACCCAAGCAAGTCAGTAAAACCACTAAGTCACAAGGAGTTATTAGGTGTGGAATAATTAGAAAACATAAACATTACTAAGGGACGGAAATAAAGGAAGTGTAATCAGGTGGACAGTAGATAGCGATTGACATTGTATCTAAATTTTTGAAGTTCAAAGTTGACTGGAAAGCATGGAGCCGGAAGAAAGTTCCACAAGTAAGAAGTGCGAGAAAAGAAAATGTTAGCATACAACCCACGGTTACATCTTACCAACTCTTACCAACTCAACCGTAAATTGATGATCCCTCGTCACCAGTCTTGTACATATATATAGTTTATATTATAGATTTATAGATATAAGAGGCCGGTTAATGAAATTCCAGAGATAAAAAAACAACAAAAATAGTAATAATAATTTTAATAAGACTAATAATATTTATTTAATATTAGTAAGCCTTTTGACTAAATAGAAGCATGATGAGAGAGATTTGAAAATCAGAATTTTCGGACACGCCTGTATCCTCTATCAAGAAAACAAGAAATAAACAATGAAGTCGGACACTCTTTTCCGGGGAATGTGTATTTGTCGTTGTGTGTGTATGTGTGTTTTTCACACGCTCGCGTGCACACACACACACACACACATATATATATATATATATAGAGAGAGAGAGATAGATAGATAGAGAGAGAGAGTGAGAAAGAAGATAGATAGATAGATAGATAGATAGATAGATAGATAGATAGATAGATAGATAGCTACCTAGCTAGCTGGATAGATAGTATGGTATGGGATGTTTTGTCAGGTTTTATAGAAAATAAGTAATGGCTGGCCCGTTGTAATACAACTGATGCGAAAAATTGCTTTGAGTTCTTTATAGTTTTCTGTTCATATATTTGTGCTGGTTTTCTATTTGGAAAGGCCACAGCCTCAATTTTCATACAAAACATCAACTCTATCGCAAAGGGCCAAATATTGAAATACATTTTTGAACTCAATTGAAGATAGTTCAAACTATTCGCCCGTTGAAACGCTAAGGTCTTCTAGGGATTTAATAGATAAGCTGAATTTCGTTGGAATTTTATGAGGTGCAAATCTTGTTGATAAAACTCATTTGTCAGAGTTTAAAGATTGAACTGGAAGAATATTTGTCATTCTTTATTAAATCCAAAATAAATTAGACATTTTATTTTCCGGTTACGTAATAGCTTCATCCATTTTCAAACATTCCACTCGAAAAACGCTCATAAAAGTTCCGTTATATGCCGCAGATCGTTGTCTAGAAATTGTCTTGAAAACCTCAGGGTATGCTCCAGGTATTGGTTCTATATAAATAGTAGCTTTGCCGAATAAATACTTTCAAGGACTTAATTTAAATTAGCCTTTAACTTTGAAATTTAGTAATTAGGATCAGACAATATTTTCTTTTTATGGAGTAGAAAATGTTTTTAGAATTTCTCCAATAGTTTTTCGAATTATTAAAATCCTTTTCGACTGATGGATATTTCGGTTTTCTGTATAGAAGGAGAGCATTTATTTTTTTAGGTCGAGTTAATAAATGTCCTTTTATACCCCCCCCAAAAAAAAAACTATAAAAGCAAAAATAAAAAGTTGACAAAATGGATTGGTTGAGTCAATCGATTCTGATACTCTTCTGTATGTAAAATCATTGACACTGATGTAATTCTAAATAGTTGCAGACTTATCTCAATGGCTAGAGGATGACAGTAAATTCTAAGATATTTATAATAATATTGTTAGTGTTGTGTTCTTGCTCCTACAGAAAAGCAATGCAAAAGTTTCTATAAGCATATAAAGACTCCCTTCTTTTTTAATGTTTTTTTTAGATAAATATTGTAGTGAGTTGATGCCACAAGAGTAACAAGAGGTACAAAAGATTAACTGTAAATGATATACATAGTAGCTGAGGCTGACGAACTTATTTAAATACTTGTTTTGAAAAAGTAACTGTTTTCTCATTTCCTTCACCTTTTTGTAGGATCGCATGCCCGAACGAGGAAATGATCTTCTCCAGCCAAATCTCTATCTATAAAAGGCAGGGTGTGTGTGCGTGTGTGTGTGTGTGTGTGTGTGTGTGTGTGTGTGTTTGTGTGTGTCTGTGTCTGTGTATGTGTCTGTGTCTGTGTGTGTGTGTAACGAATGCACGGCCGCAATTTTCGACGGATTTGCACCAAAATTTACATGCACATGTTCCAAATTAGCGGGAAGGCCAAGACTGACTTTGCATTTCCCAACTCCCGTCGATAGTGGAAATAATCGATTTTTCAGGCTTCTACTGCAGTTTTCATGTAGTTTGCGGCCATTTTGTACTGGCCAGAGTGAGAGCCTATAGCTGGCTGCCACGAATAGGCAGGAAGATTCTATTGGCCAGCGTGAGAGCCAACAGACGACTGGCAGGAATGTTAACTAGCATGCTAACATGCAAAAATCGATAGCTGCATTCGTCACAAGTGGGAAAAATTTAAATCTGCATGGCACTTTACTCCAATTGGCTCATTCGCTTGCTTAAACTCAACGTTGATTCTGATTCCGCAGAACTGGGTTGGGTGTGGAAATGTATTTGTTGTTAACATTCTTTTTTCATTCGGTTTTTCCAATTACGTGTCCATTTTTAAAGCTGATCGTTTTGTGTTCATTTTGTTTAGTTATTTTTTCTTAACAGATTTAATGTTTTGTATAGAGCTTAGAAAAAATTCCCAGTGTGAGATAGGCAAAAAGTAAGGCATGTAGCAACATCAGCACGGCAAAAGGCACTCCTTTAAAGGCAAGGAAGGGCAAAAATATTTTAAGTCAAGTGATAGCGATTCCTGTATGAGTCGTACGATTTTTGAATCAAGGACGGGCAATGCAGGGCCATTCTGCTAGCAACTAAATAAGACTTTGTTCCGAAATATAGCCATTTGTATTCTGATCCCGTTAATAACAAAAGACGTACCTTTTCCCATATATTTATCAGTTTTATCCTATTTTATGTATTAAATATTTCATAAAATTTCTAACTGTCGTGTATTTCATAAAATTTCTAACTGTCGTGTATTTGATTTCGTTTATTTTTAACCCGACATTATCAGTCAGCAAGATTCTATTTTCTCTTTATTTTCGAGAAAATAATGTGAGTGAAGAGGATGTACGTAAAAAGGGTAAATAGAACACTGCTTACTGGGACATCCTTCTTGGCCGAGCGGTAAAGCACACTAGATCAAAACAGTGGATTCTGACCAGGAATGCATTTCCTTTACTAAGATTTTTCGAATGTCGATAGTCATAGTACACACTATTTAATAAATAAAAATTGGTTGTCGATTTCGAATAAGAAGTTTACACTATAAAAACATTTAAAGTAATATATATATATATATATATATATATATATATATATAAAGATGTTGATTGACATTGCATTTAAATTTTTCAAGATTATAGTTATCAAGGAAGCAAGTAAGAAGAAGGGAGTTCTCCAGGCATGAAGTGCGAGAAAATAGAAACTGTTGGAGTAGAAGAGGCGATTCACTGGGACTGAGATGCCAACTTTAAATTCATGCAGTCGGGTCACCAGTGAAAATAGCCCGTCAGAGCAGTTACCATGAAAATATTTGTAGAAAAAAAAGTGGGAAGCTACATCACCTCTGTGAGAAAATGACTGTTGCCAAGTCGGGAGCGACCATATTGCATATCCATCTTTGGATTTTGTCGAGAACATCAAGATGAACAGCGAGGGCACCAGACCATATATGGCAACAGTATTCCATGCATGGACGAATTGTAGATTTGTAGATGTGAAAGATGGATTCAGACGAGAAAAATCTTCTGTCGTGACACAGAGAACCAACTTTCCTTGCGATATATCTTCACTATTTATATAAATTCATATATGCAATATTTATTACAGAAATCAATTCAATGTATATAAAGAATAGAAGTAAATTAACTGCTTGAAAGAAGAAAATTTTAGTTTCCAGTTCTTTTTTAATTTTTAATTAATTTGTGAAAGGAACTAAGTTTAATCACGTACTTGGAATGAAGTCCGAGACATGTCATTCTTCAATTGTTTCTTAAACTAGAGATATTTGCCCGAAGACAATTTGTAATACGACTGTTAGCAGCCATGTTTATCGCATTCCAAGACTGAATATTTTCCCGAGTCAAGAGTAAACAATAATCGTTAAGCGATAAAAATCGAAAAAGGTCAAAGAGGAGAAAATGAGCCGCTCCGAGCCAGTATTAAGAACAATTGACTGAAGCAATTGACCAAAGTCAATACACAGAACATTCTTCCTTTTTTTCCAGTATTGCCACAATACAAAAAAAAAAAGAAAAAAGAAAGGAGAGCATAGGACGAAAGTGAAAAAAGAAAGATGGAAAAAAACCCAAAAGGATAGGAAAAGCATAAATAATTTGAAAATGAAAAAAGTAACTATGGAGTGACAGAACTTGTATTAAAATGAAATGAAAACCATATCTTATACAAAAATAGTTGTTGAGAGATAGACACTTATTTTATATGCGATGTCCTTTCAGAATGTGGACGATTACGACTTTCGACAGTTCCTATCTTTTTCTAGGTTGAGTTAATACATCTTTTTTATACCCCGAAAAAAAACATAAAAGCAGAAGTAAAACGTTAATGAAACAGACAGGTCGGGTCAACCGATTCTGATACTCTTCAATATGTAAAATCGTTGATTCTAACATAATTCTAATAGTTGAAGACATATCACAATGGTTAGAGGATTAGAGTAAATTCTCTAAGTAACTTTTGTCCTTTAACCGTCTCTATATACCATTGTTTTGCTATCCGTTCCCCGAAACTCTTTAAATAGATTACTCGCTATCTCCCCTTGCCTTCAATATGCCCTGTGAGTATCAAATTCTTCTAGCTCTCTTTCCTCAGCCGTTTATTTCTGATTGTAAGAATCCGTTTCCTTATAGTTCATATTTTCCTTAAATCTTACTCGTTGCTCGCATGATCATGAATAGAAACACATCTATGTCAATTCTCTTAATCAGCATTCACTGAAATATAGATTAGAAAAACACTATAGTGATTCAATTAGTGCTTTTTCATCTACAAATGTGTGTGATAACGAGCTTTCTAATTGAGTTCCTTACATATTCTTCTCTCATCCTCGTCTCCCACTGAAATAAACCTGTAAGTACGTATACATATAAACATTTGTATATATAAATATATGTGAAGAAATGAGACAAAGTGTAAAGTCTTTTTATTAACAAAGTGTTTCGCCTTTATTAGGTAGTCAGACGTCTTCAGGTCAAAATGAAATAGAAATCTGCGTTTTCTTTTATATTAAAACCGTTAATGTCTAGTTTGGCATCTACATTCGGAAAGAAAGTACAAAACTGCGCGTATTTTTTTTTTTTTTTTTTGATTTCTTTCTTTTTTTTCAACACGCTGACGCGTGTGGAAATCCTCACAGTATTTAGTATTGTTCAAGTTATCACTAACATTTTTGTCGAGAATTAAAAAATCTACGTTTCGTTCAATTTCGCAAACCAATCTATGAAATTTGAATAAGCTGATTTGTTTGGGAAAATAATTTGACAAAAAACCTAGTTCGCGGTTTAATAATTGATGTAATTTAATTTTATAGGACTTCATGAAAAAATAATATTTTTTAAGAAAATCTCTTTTTTTTTTCCTTTTTAACAGCGAAAATTAATTCTTAGGATTCCATACACTTCAGCATGCAACATTTAACTGGCCATGCGTAAATATTTC